ACCATATCAAGTGATCAGATGGAAATAAATAATCTAATTTGAATACATATTAAAAAACAGTACAGAATAAATGACCCATGTAATTAGGTTAGGTTTCACTATCTATAGCATACTAGCGGGCTATGCACAATCTATATGCAAGGATTTTCAAGATCATTTATTATGTGTGGTGAACATGCTTACATATGAAATAATCAAATACAATAACGTACAAAGAATCCAAAATTAATTATAATTACCTCCACTGCTGGTTGAGTGAAAATCCTAGCGATGTATTGTCTTCTCAATATCATCTTCCAAACAAATTTAAACAAAGTTTTAGACACGGCAAACAAATATCGCGACACGATTCACTCTACTTGAAAGGCATGGCATTCTAAATACTAACTAAATGCTGAAAAATTTGACTAGAAAACAACACCAGAGCAACACGTAACCTGCACGTAACGAATCAAAACAATCAAATCCACGTCCTCTATTGCCAGCTTTTTGAATTGCATGACGTCACACGTTTAGTTCGGCTCACTATATGCCTGCGGGAGGTAGCGCAGAAATCATCACCCCGTTTTACGCCCCTGACTATATGCGTGAGAGTAGGTCCTGCCAAAGAAAGTTGGATAAACATTACCGTACGTCTCAAGTACATGCCCTCAGCGTTCACAAAAGCCTTCTAGCGGGAACCACTGACAAAGTAATGTGAATTAATAGGGTGGTTAGAGGCCCTATGTACGTCTTCACGTCAATGGGTTGGTATATATTGACGAGAGAGAGAGAGAGAGAGAGAGAGAGAGAGAGAGAGAGAGAGAGAGAGATATGATCATTTTTTTCAGTACGCTCTTTACTTATTGTATGAATGCCTAAAGTCGGCTAGGCTCCGGTTCAAGAAATAAACATTACATGGAATTGAGCTGTCAGTGGACGCCTTACCTAATCGATTATTAATTGAAAGGACATACAAAGAAATTGAAAATTTTGCCAAGAGATGGTCCAAAACAATCAATAGATTCAAAAAACAGAGGAAGTCACTAAACAAGAGATAACTAGTATATCCTATGAGCAGTACCCACAATGCCACAGCGTGGCATACCGCTGAAATTTGTATCATAAAAAGTAAAATGAACAGATGTAAATTATATACAGATTGTAAATAGTCACCAATTGACTTATTTTCTCAATACGGATTAATTTATAATTGTTTTTCCTAATAATAACAAAACTACGAATTGTAAATATCTAATATGATAATTGTAAAATGCCACATGCAATATGAAATTGTAAATAGTATGTATTTCGATGTTTCAGTAGTGGGCCACCTGGCTCCCCGTACCAAGGACGGAACCCCCAATAATACTTGTGTCTCGGGAGAGCAAATTGCGGAGCTACGATTGTATGCTAAGACAGCCGAGTCGCTGTCCGTGAGTCGCATGGCGGGAAATTTCAAACTTAAATTTGAAACACCACAAAACATATTTGATGGAAAACTGAATTTATAAACAAAATATTAATATATAATATTAATTAAATATTAACATTAATTATATAAATGTTAATATAGCAGTATTGGATATATTATTTTATGTTTTTATAAATTGTTATCATTTCCACATCACTTGATTGAAGTAATCACGTGAATGATTCATAAAATGATTAGACAAACTCAAGCAACAATGCGAGCTCAGAATGCTGTGAAACAAAGTTCAATTGTTTGCATCTGTCATAGGAGAACTACCAACAAAACGTACGAAATTTGAACCTCAAGGTTTGTTCTCGACAAAAAAACAGAGAAAACCCAACTACTTCCTCTATAGTTGTACCACCTGCACCAAGAAAAAAGAGAATATCGCCGATAAATTTATTATGGCAATAATAACATTTTAAGCCTCAAATATGATGAATATACACTTCAAAAAATAATTGAATCGTGTACGTTTTACTGATATGTTATTATATTATTATTCATTCTCAAATTATCTGTAATTTTATTGTATTTTACCGAGTGGATATAGGCCTATTGGGGACACCTCTTTAAAAAAAACGCACCAAACATTATCTAATTCATCAAGTTGTATGGAAATGACAACAATTTATAAAATCATAAAATAATATAACTAATAATGCTATTAATTGTGATTCTTATTATTCATGATTTTATTCTTTTGCCAATTTGAAAAGATTTAATTAATATTATTAACATTGATTATATTAACATTTATATAATTCATGTTAATATTTAATTGATATTCATATATTAATATTTCGTTTATGAATTCAGAAAAATGCTAACAATTTATAAAAACATACCATAATATAACTAATACTGCTAATTTATTTTAATTCTTATATTCATTACTTTATTTTGCCCATTTCAAAATATTTAATAATAGTGTTTAATAACAGTGTTTTCCATCAAATATGTTTTTTGGTCGTTTCACATTTAAGTTTGAAATTTCCCGCCATGCGACTCTGATAGCGACTCGGCTCTCTTCGCATACAATCAGGGTTCCGCAATTTGTTCTCCCGAGACACAAGTCCCAATAATATTTAGATGCGGCTAAGAGATGGATGAATTACGGATAAGAATTTGTATCTTTAAAAGCTTTATGAACATATAAAAATGTTAATTTTGTGTAAAATATAATGTCATAAAAATGGAGATATAAGACAATCTAAGTGTGCAGGTAGGGGCATAGCTCATGGACTCGCACCTAAAAATATTTGTTATAATAATAATAATAATAATAATAATAATAATAATAATAATAATAATAATAAAACACAAGTAAAACGCAAAATATCCTCTATACTATTACTACCACACCTACTAACGTACTTCCAGGAGCAACTATGTTGTGTCTATGCGAAATATCCAATACGATTTATGAGTCCGATTCGTATATCAGTGTTTGGAAAATCATAAAAGGAATTTGTGCCAATCCCTTCAAAAAAAATTGGAAGTAAAGTATTTTCTAACACATACCTACTCGACCTCAGGAAGTGATTTGAGATTCAAGATTTAGAAGCATTGTTTCAATCATCGACTCCCCTTTCTATAACAATTGTGGATAGTAAAGGGAAGGGAGCATTGAGACCTACTTCGGGTTAGTTTCTCGTTGGAAGCCTGATGTCAGCGCTAAAAACTAATGGTGCTACAACAGCACATACTTTCTTGCAATACTGTTAATGGTTATGTAATATTATAATGTGACAATTTCTGTCTTACACCTCTCCTGCCATTTGAAAAATTCTTAACAAACTAATTTTTTTTAACTTTCCAATACTGCATTCTTCTTTCCATGTTGTATTCTCTTACCTGTCTTAACTTTTCATAGGAAATAATGTTTTCATGGCTTTGTCAGCTTCTGATATTTCATCCGGAATATCTTCAATATTTTCCATTTGCAAACTTTCTTTACTCTCCATATCAGTATGATATACAATGCATAATGGACCTATTTTAGAATAGGTCTTTCTCGGAAGCAATGCAGCGTTATCCTTCAATGTGTATGAAATTTTCAAAATTTAAATTATTCTTAAATGGAAATGAAAAATATTGAGCGCAACGTGTGGATAAAGGGGTATAATTACATTCTTGTTAAATAAGAAAACTCACTCCCATCATCACTTGCTTTCTTAAACATAGTACCACTGGTGGAATTAAATCCCTCTTTATACACTCATTTCGTTTATTACTTTAATTTGAATCAATACCCGTAATACAACTACCATAATTCATGTTCTATATTTCTCTTGAATTTCATATTATCTACACTACTATTATAACATATTTTTGTATTAATTTCTTTTGGGTTCAAACTGTTTAACTAATACTACTATGTTAGTAGAACTAACACTATTTCATATTTTATCTTTTAAGATTCGTCTGTAAATCTGTTTTCATTCATTATCGCAATTTTGCTAACATCTTGGCAAGAAAGAAAATTCTTCTTCTTCTTCTTCTTATAAGTGTATCATCAATTTATGACCATGCTACATGTTATCTTCTGAGACACAGTCATATTTATCTTGGAGAAATGAACATGTGTTACTATGGGAATATGCTTTTTTTCTTCGGTTGTATACCTTGGTGTGACAACATTGTTACATGTTGCATTATGAATTACAGGGTGATAGGATGTTGAGGGGGAAGGGACAGGACAATCACAAATACGACCATGCCTTCACAGGACTTGAATTTACAGCCTCCATGACAGGTGACAGCTGCTGCAACTGTCTTCACCATGGGGGCCAGGTCTTATAATTGTAGTAACTATTAATTTAAATATTTTTAAAAACCTATTATTTCACCTGTCCTGTTTATGGTTAATTCTTGTAACAGAATTTTAAGTTTCACAACACAATAGAAAACTTTCAAGAACGTAAGGAACTTCAAAGTCAATACACGGCAGCAGTTTTTGTGAGGTGTCCATGCAGGTACTAACTTAGTTACACATGTTAATGAAAAAATCCAAAAATCCTGACACTTGTAGCCAGTAGCGCATTCGCAGGGTGAGAGCTCATGAGGCTTCCAGTTCCCCCTCCCAGAAGTTGATGATTCATTCAAAACTGTAGTTTTTTACTAAAGGCTTTTGTAGTAACAGTGTAGTATAGTATCATTCAACATCTCAATTGAATATGTTATAAACAACTATAAACCAACAAATAAAATAAAATTTTAAATTCAGTTTTATTTTAAGCATAAATGAAAAATTCTTTAAAAGAAAATATGAAGCCAGATGGTAACTACACCTGATCCCATACACACACTTGAAAAATTCCGGTTGTGCTACTACTTGTAGCTAATTTGGAATCAGACTATGAATAGAAAGTCTGAAGACACATGTTCTTCCGGTAACGAAATAATGATGTGTTGATTTTGAAGGATGCATCTACTGCACCTCCCTCACATCTGAAGTAAAATGAAATTAAAAAAAAAAAATAAATAAATAAAAATCCTATTACTAATTACTCAACTAGACTTAAAAAGCAAAAAAAAATGGAGCCACTTTCAAATTTTGAAAATGACCTAGGGGCTTATGTTAAGTTCCTCAATAAATTAAAAGATTCATTGAAATCCACTGCAAACTGGGAATATCCAAGAAAAATCTTGTGTGTGGTTTAGATGCTAGTGTTGTCAACAGTCACAAAAAAACATTTAACAGGTACTCTCAAATTGTGCAAGTATTGTATGTCATTCATTCATTTATGAGCAATTTTATTTTTTTAAATATTTTACTGTATTTTTATATACATGTAATTTTAGAATTTTAATATTCAATTTTACTGCCTGAATACTTTGTAAGGCAATTTTACGGGCTGCTATAGGGCACCCTTCACTCGCCAATGTTACGAGATATGACATTGTCACCTTTTGTTTGCAATTGCGAAGTGGCTATAATTTAATAAATTCACAAAATCTCTTACACTCCCGTGTTCTTTACATGTATGTGTGTCAACATGCTTCTGGAGAGGGGAAGAGATCTTTGTCATCTGCATGGCACAGCAAGAGAGCATATGGTCTGGGAAACAGACAAAAAGACAGTACTAGGGGAAAGTATTCAGATTTTGTTGATGTTTATAGAAGCTTGATTTAGGTCAACTTTGTTCAACAGAAGGCATCCATGATGGAGAAGTTGATCCATTTTCAATAGTCATTTGTTGAATTAATACTAGAAACTGCTTACAGCTTGAAAAAGTTCAAACCATACCACTGACTGGGATGTATGATAGAATAAAATGCACTTGGTACACTGATTAAATTATTAACAATTTATTTATGGGGAACCAATACAATGGGAGAGCATTGCTAGTTCATATAGTAATTATATTACATGCTGGTAAGTGTCAATACACTTACTAGTGATTAAAATTATTGAGAGTTAGGGTATGTTAATATCTTGTGACTTGACATAACAATTTTAGAAGAAACAAATGTATCTACTAAAACCTTATGCACTTAACATTTTCACAAGTGAACAAGACTATCCATAATTTGAGCTACAAGCATCAATTATGTACTGCATGCTTTCGACCTATGTAATGTGTTAGAAAATTTCAGATATATGACTTATTTCTCATAGATTTGAAAAGAGAATTTTATTTCTGATGATACTAAAATATATTAATACACTTTCCTTGAAATGAACGAGCTGATATTTTTAATTGTATTTGTCATAGATGACATATTTTCATGCACTTTACACATTTCCTCATAATGAAGTGTTATTCAGAACTGCAATGTTATTACCACAAAGAGTTCAGAAAACTTGAAATTTCAGGTATGACATTTGTAGCTCCCATCATACATTCCTTGATTTACTATCTCACAACACAATACATAGCATTCGCACAGTTCAAAAGAATATTAAACATCTGAAAAATGAAAACTTTCACTTATAACTGTAAACTTATTTGTCTCTCACAGCAAATTAATATTGCTATTTGCCATCCTAAATAACATATATACAATACCTATAAGAGCCAAATTATGTTAAAGGATGAAAACTCAAAGAAACATAATTTTCTTACAATAAAGAACAAAGTTACAATGCCTATACAACTAGAGCAAATGCACAGTACACTTACAATTCTGTTTGCGATGTACGAATGGAATTCAGAAGTTTATACATTGTGTACATAAATAGCAGAATCTGATTTGTAGAATATTATCGTCCTTGGTGTAATTTTTTATCTCAAGGATCATAATTTGGCAAGATAATTGCTGAGATTTGCTTAGTGTGGCAATTCTCATCTAATGTGTTAGTCATTGTCTTTCTGAAATTGAAAAAGACAAAATATTCCCAACAAATGTATTATATATATATACATATTAACACACTGGTTAGTTTACATGGGACTGTAAAATATATGGTAAGTTCACAATAAATGATATGTTGTATACTGTTGTGTTACTAACAACACTGAGTGTTAGCTAAGCTGTAATTGATTGTTGCACACTGTGGTGTTCTCTTGTTTATTATTTGAATTATAATTTACTGTTGAATGACTATTTTCAATACAAAATTTCATCTCACACTAATTTTATACATAAAGTGTAACAAAGCACAGTACATAAATATGTTTCACCTCATCAGTGAATTATGTACTATAATAATTGTGGTTATTTTTTACTCCTTGCTTTTTTGCTATAGAGTTTGGCACATTTATAATAATGAGCCTTTAAGTTAATAGTTACTTTTTAGCACGCAATATTTATAAACATGTGTAATGCTTTGGTTGACTGGTAAAATAATTTCTACTACAAACAGAACACTAAACTAAGCCTGTATAAGCAATTTATACAATATTGGCTTTCATTGTCCCACCACTCATCATCACCTTCGACACAAAATTAACAATCGCAGAAGCTGGTTGTTCAGGCTCCAGTTCTGCAAATATATGGCACTGGTTGTCGGTCTTACTGGCTGGTTTACGAGCAACAAATCCAAAAACACGACTGAAAGAAACATTTACAATGAATTAATTATATATTCATAAGATTGCACATGTATTTTATCAAATGAAAAATATTGAATTCAACACAAGATTCCAATTTTATAGCAATCAACATTTCAAATAGCAGTTGGTGTGGAACATTCAAGTAGTTTCAAGATTTAAATTGCCGTCACAGTTATTGAAGTAAACTTTGAGCACTTTATTTCTCATGCCATGATCTTATATTAGGCAATAATTTTTATTATAATCACATGAGAAATCTTTAAAAGAGAGTGATATCCAAGAAAAAAATCTGTATTTTTGCATATAATTTGTTGAAGCTCATTTAACATATTTGGGTAATAAATCTCTCAGATCATTTCACATTATTATCGTATTAAATACTAGGTTTAGCAAAATTTTCTTATCGAAGTAGTTGATTTCAGATTATAAAGAATTTAAACTTCAATGGTACTTAAAAGGCTTTCTCATTAATAATAATTACTAAAATATTATGGTAATGAAAATAATAACAACAATATTAATAATACTAATAGTAATAATAATAATAATAATAATAATAATAATAATAATAATAATATGAAATTACACATAAATATAATAATGTACATATTTGTAATATACGTAATTACTTACTTGGAGCTAATAGGCATTCCAGTTTCTTCACTTTTTTGACTCCAGCGATGATCATCAGGATCCAATCCACAGAAAGAAATAGTGTTTACAGGATAATGCCTCCTAAAGAATAACTGACGTTTATTATCAGTCAAAGTTATACCTTGACCAGAGACCTTGAAGTGTACTACAGTTGCTTGAGGAAGTGGTCTTAACATAAATAATTGGGCAACTGCTTTTTTAATTGCCTGTGGTCCTGTTAGAGACTCAGTGTCCAAAGTAAACAGGTAAAGGACATTGCAAGCTGAAATAAAAAACAAAAAAATTAATTGAAATCAGTTCTATGCAAATTTATTTACTTACTTTGGAAATTATAATATTTTCTTTCTTCTATTATATATTTAATTATGATAATCTAATATTTCAGAAATAATGAAGTGTTTCTTAGTAATAGAAAAGAAAGGGAAGTGCGTGGTTTCTTCAAATGTCTAAACTGTACAGATGCAACAATATTTATTAAAACTTTTAAAACAAATATGAACAACAGATATATTGCATTACATTACTGACACATATTGCACACTCTCTCATGTGATATACTTGTTACTTTCTCATATACCTATGTATGTATTGAGTAATATACCAGGTGCAGATCCATGGGGAGGGAAATAAGGGAAATTTCCCGACCCAAAATATTTCAGTAAGTATTAATTTTAACTTGTCACAGAACTTTGAAGCAAAAATATTTTTATATAAACATTAAAACATAAAATTGTATCACACTACGAGCTGAGTAAAGCCTGCTTCATTCTACATAATCTGTATTACGACATATTCAACCAAAACATTTCAAATAAAAAACTATCCCCTCTCAAAATTTGTCTCTGGATCTGCCCCAAATATACATAGTGTAGAGAAAGTTATGTAATGCTGTGGAAAATCGATTTTGAGATTTTAATGGAAAAACATGTTTTGGGGTTCCCTGTTACCAAAAGTGTTTATTTTCAAAATGTCCACCTGTGAACACCACTAGCACCTCAGCTATACGTAGGATTTTTTTAAAGTGGATATTCCCAGATTGATCTGGCACGACTTGAAGCTTTGTGATTTTGAAAACCAATATTTAAAATTTGGGGGTACTTTACATGAAACTCCAGGGACATTTTCACAATTTCCTCAGAAACAGGTCCAATTTTTTTCTCTTTGGACTACTAAATGTACCCTATAAGATGACAAACACAATTTTCTCATTTTTTTTTTTTTTTTTAATTACACAAATGTACGTTTTTTATGTCTATCTCTCTTTCTTAATATTTACATTAGAGGCAATTTGCACACATTATTGCATTGACAAGCACATGTGCTTTAAAGGATGCCATATAAAATTTCTTGAAAACTTAAAAGTTCTCTGTAAAAATGAGCTCAAATTCCGCATTTTCAGAAAAGCTCAAACATTATTTTGTGAAATATGACTCAACATATTTTCTTCAAACTTTTCTTACAGAAGGAAGTTGCTAATTTGGAGAAGTAGAACAATTTGAGGTCTGTGAGGAATAATAAAAGTTTCCAATGGTGAACAAGATTTTGAGGGGATTTCACAGGGCTGGACAGTTTTAAGTTGCGCGTTAGCAATTTGGGGTGTACCAGGGCTACAAGGTAAGGCTTGAACATATGATGATCAACAACTTGAGGGAAGGATTGTTTGGTGGGAAGGAGTATTAAGGTCTGACAATTTTGCCCTGAAGAAGCCAATAAAAATGTCTTGTCTTTAGATCAGAAATGATTGTTTACTCTAAGCCAAGAAGCATTCAACGTGGCTTATGTGGAAGACATTTGTGCTGTTACAAATACTGGCAATATGGATGGACAAATGAAGAAAATGCTGACTTGTGAAAAATGTTGCCACAATCCAATACAAAACATTTGAATCAAACTACAGAAGACATCTGCATCTCATGAGGTACTACTAAAGGGTGCAAAGGAGTTCAACATCAGCTGTTCAGCTTACAATTATAGGCTGTTAGGCTTTTGTCAGATGCGATGCAAAAAACGGTTCAAGCCTCAAAAAAAGAAGATTGTAGAACCCAAGAAAAAGGTCTGGTGGTTATAGAGATGATGAATTCAGCAGATATGCAATGCAGCTGAATGACGAGCTGGAGAACCTATCCAATTTTATCACTCCATTCCTGAATCTGTTAAGGATGAGTAGTGATGGCCCTTCATGATGGATCACAGAAAGGCATGATGAATTTAATTACCTGCTCCTTGAGCCAGTAGTAACTGTGCTGTGCTCACACTGCCAGGGCTATCAGCAGGAAGGCGAGAACCATCAGACTCTGGCAGCAGAAGGCGGCAAGGCAAAGCCATTGGCATTAGGGAGTGCTGATACACCAAAGCTGACAGGGAGCCTAAAACAAACAAGGGATGATGAGATTCCTTATTCTATATTTTGGAATTTAACTCAAATAATATTTAAATTGTTCCTTACTGAAAACTGGTTCATTTGCACAGCCTTTTAATCTAACTCCTCGAGAAGTTGGTTCAATCAGGAAGTGTCGTACAAGTTCACTTCCAGGATCATTTATATTTGCTATTTTACCCTGAACATTAGGTGGTGGAGTTGCCACTTTAAGTGCAAGGCCAAATGCTCCAGGGAAGGAATTGGAGTCCCGAACAACAAAAGTTCCTGGAGGTTGTTCTCGCAACATGTTTATAGCTAGAATTAAAAGGTATATATTTTTATGAAACAAAACTTAACTCAAAACTATGATATATAAAGGATGAAAGTCTACACATTGATAGTTTACCTTCTTCTCTTGATATGGTAGGTTTGTACCAGAAGCGCGATGTATCTCGAACAAATTTTACATGTGCTGGTGATACTTCCTGAGGAGGCTCGCTATTTGAATGCACTGATGATCGTCTTGAGTGTCCGTAATAAACTGTAGGAGAGGACTGTCCTGTGCTTCCATTGAGAACTCCAGGACTCTGAAAGAGATGAACAAAAATTAATTTTCACATTTTTAATCCCTTTAATTTGACATTACTTTTTTTGGAGAAAGAATAAAGAAGGAAAAAAAGAAAGAAAGAAAATAATAATAATAATAATAATAATAATAATAATAATAATAATAATAATAATAATAATAATAAATAAAAACTTAATTTTTTCTTTAAGATTTCAACAAACCTAAAATTAATATTTTATCTCATTTATTTTATTCCATCTTTACTCTTTAAAAAAACATGAATGTGATTTTTCAGAAATATGCAAAATTAACATTTTGAAATTTTATCAAACTTTTTTTAGCATTTGATGAGCGCTTTAAATTATGATAAAATTTCAAAATGTTGAATTGTTTTGTTTGTTTAAATCATTTCAGATGTTGCAGAAACAGTTATTTTTATAACACAAACTGTACGTTCACGAAATAGGTTTTTTTTTTTAAAAAGTTAATTATAAAGTATGTATTTAAAAAAATTAATAAAAATTTCTAACAAAAACTGAATTTTTCTGAAAATTTTAAGCTGCAATTTGTTCATTGAACAGTGTTTTAAATTCTTACCTTTGGACTTTGTTGCAAATAAACATCTGAAAGACTGGTTGACGAATGAGGAGGAGTTGGGTAGGCCATTGTACGGCTGCTGCTAGCACCACTGCTGCTGTTACTGATCATACTCGTGTTCTGATGCTGCTGCACCGGAGAGGGATCAGACACAGGAGAGGGTGAACGGTCCTTGCTGAAATTACATTAAGAATATTACTTTCCCACAGTCAATGAAATTGATAAATATTTTGCATAAAAAAACAGAAAAAAAGGGAATGTGGGGACCAAGTTTTCTGAAACATTATATTATTTGCAATATTAATACACTCAAAGAAATTATCAATTTTGTTACAAGGAAACTAGAGTAAAAGATCTCAAATTATTTACACAGTAGTAATTGATTTACACTATATAAATTAATTGTAGATTAAACATGCATTTTTTCCCTATTGACAAAAATGAGATATAGTTAAAATATATCTCTTTTTCTTGAAGACATTATCAGCACAAACATAATTTGGTTTTCTTTTCATTCCAAGACACATCTATTACCATACATGTTCACACTTGAATGCACTAAAATAGATATTCAAAAATGAAAAGCATGCATGTAATAAAAAATAATAATAATAAAAAAAAATAATAAAAAAGAAATTAAAAGTTTCTTTTACTTCTGGGATGATGAAGAAAACTGCACATCTCATATTACGTGCAAACAACAGACATCTTTCACAAGCACAAGTCCATCAACACACTAAATAAAATGTAATAATAGACAACTATTAATAGTGAAAACATGCAACATTCTGACATTCTTCAATAGTGAATATGATATTTTATCAAAAATATTATGTTGGGCACACAGTTAAGACACGTCACACACCTTCTTTAACATGCTCCTTTCAATTTTGCCTCTACATACCTAGACACAGAGGAGTTGGAAGGCCATTTTCTCAGGTTTTTAAACGATCCCGAATAACTCAAACGTCTACAATAATGAAGAATAAAGACATCAAAGGATGTATGATTCTCACTCGAGAAATATTTTTGAGGAGCAATTAATATATTCTCTTCAAAATCAATACCTCATTATTAATTCCTAAGTTTAATTAATTTTGTAAGTTATAATTAAGATGTAGCCAAAATAATAGAATTAAAATACTTGAGAATTTTTTGTACTGTTACAAAAGCCAATTGATGAAGAAGTTGAAAATATAAAGCATGATAAATTAACTTCAGTAACTGTCCAGGAAATACTATTTCTTTACACCTATACGGGATAATTACTATTGTATCTAAGAAGGAATATCAAAAGGCTTTAGAACAGAAAAATAAAATTTCAGCCGAACTTAAGTTCAAGGTTTATATAATTAAATGCAAAATATTAATTAATATTGGTTTAATACTGGAATACATTACATTATTATAGGATATTTTCGAAGGGCTTAGTAGATTTTGTAATGTATTCTAGTAGTATAATAGCATTTTTATTAAATATATCAATTAATTTAAATCCATTTAAAAAAATGTTGTTATTAGGAGAGTTTTATCTAAATTAAATTAATTCTTATGTAGTTTATAATAAAACTTAATTTGTAGAAATGATAAGTAATTCTGTTGATTTTCGATTTTCTATAACTCAAAAGCATTTTCTCAATTTTCTCTGCAGTTACTTATTGCCATCGATGTTGTAAATGTCATTGATATTTTCTTCTATACAAACACAATACACATACACAATATGTTAAGATCAACTGTTAAGAAACACACTGATGTAAAATGTATGAATAATATCTAAGCATTATTTGTCATTGACAACACTGCTGGAATAAACATAAGTTAATGATGAATTTATGATACTTTTCTACAAAGCACATTTCAAGCAATATCTTATATTTTCACCAACATGCAGTACATACAATAGCACACGAGTCTGTGTGTGTGCTACAAACAACACTACAAAGCTAATTTATCATCTTTCAACTGTGAAAAGTAATTTCTTTGAAATTATGAGTTAACAGTGATACTGGAACAAAATCTGAATTGGGAGGCCAAATATTAACTTTGTACATGACTGATTCAGAAGTTTCTAAGTTTTCTTGTTATTCTATTCAGAATTTCAAGACTTCTGCATCTTTTATTGTTGTGTCAATACCACTTACTATTTAACAGTGATGTTAAGTAAAACTTATATCTAAAAATTTCCCATGAAGGGAAATGTTGCCTTGCACTAACAGACATCTATACAAAAATACAAAATTACTATTAATTTAATTGATTAAGATAGGCTTGTGGATCCTTACAAAAGTAAATTAATTCTGTAAAACTAGAAAAAATTTGCTTTTCTCTCGTCTTGTCAAATTGAAATTCTTACACTACATTATGTATATTGAACAGTCCCATTTCTTCTTTAAAACAATGCAGGAATATTGTATGTTAAACAATGCTCTATCATGATAAATTACAGATTTGTTTTGGTACAGGAGTTGAATGAACATTCTGCCATTGCATTAGTACAATTATTGTACACATTACTTGATTTAAGAACTTTATTGTACAATTCAAATAGTATCTGAATCTTAAAACTAAAATGTCTACTGCTTTTAGGAAGGGATGTTTTTCTTATTGATTAAAATATTTGGTCTAAAACTGATTGGATGGGACATTTAAATTTGTGAAGATGCCACTAAAACCTTGTAATTTAAATGGTCGACCACTTGACTTAAATGTGACTATTCCAATTGGGTCTCATTTTAAACTGAGAACAAAGCATAGTTGTAGTATATTATAGCCATAGCAGTTGAAAAATTACAATATAAAACTAAAGAAATTACTCACAAGAAACAGTCATTTACTGAAATTTGAAAATAATTACATAGTAATTCTTCAACAAAAAATATCGAAAACTATTCTTAAAAATGAAAGTCTTGTTATCATATTAGAATTTTTCTTTCCCCTTCAATTGCATTAAATTCATTATTTCTCATTTCTTGAATAAATATAAATTAGTTATTTGCAAAGATTAGACCTGATTAACAATAGGCTTGAGGTAAAAATTTTTTAAATCATTTAAATATCATGTTGAAAATATTCTCAACATTTACCAGCAAAAATGGGGAGCCATTGACCCTAATGTCACCTCTCCCCCCTCCCCAGTTCCAGTACCACTGCGAGTGAAGTAACTGAAAAAGAAATCTATCTGCTCAGAGTCACATATGTTCACTACAAAATACATTTACTCAAAATTTACTATGTCAATAGATATCTTAATACAATGAAAATTACATTCAAACACAAATCTATAAATGAAAATGAAATCTAATTGTAAGTAGCCAATGAATTGAAAAATGTTCTGGCTGAATAAGTCTTCAGTAAATTGATTGGAAAGGGCCATAAATTGCTATTTAGTCAGACACAAAATAAATGCAATTCTACTACACATTATCCACAATCATATGTATAAAAAAAAACGATTCCCTTATAAAAAATGTCTAGATCTATTTCTGAGTAGTCGTACTACAAAAACAGTAAGCCAACAAATAAAAGCTTGAATAAAAGACAATCTAACAATAATTGTGAATGTACAATAAATACAGAGAAATCAAAGTACTTTTGATGCAGACAGTTTTAATAGAAATAATGTTGTAGAGTACAACTTACCGCTGTGTAGTTGGACTCTTAGGAGGCAGCCCTGTTGTAGTTGTGGAGGAGGACTGAGAAATATCGAACTGCTGAGTGCTACTGTTCACATAAGGGGTTCGAGGGTGCACTGGAAAGGCTGGTGTCTGGGGGCGGGGGCTTCCGCTCCGTGTAGGACTGCCTGGCTCATCACTGACGGAAGCAGTTCGCCATGAGGAGAAACTTTCTTCCCGCATCTGGAAATTATTTGAAAAGTATTAATTTTAAAAATCATCTGTGAATATTTGACTATGTTGGAGTGGAGGAAATGAAAGTAAACAATACTGAAAACTTTACTCAGAATTCAAATCGAAATAAACCTTTTTAGAAAAATTAATTTAATTTTTAATATAATTTCCTAGTTTTTGATGTGGCAAACTGATCTGAAATCTGCTAATTTACATTTAAAGCTATAAACAAGTGCTTGTAATTTTATTTGAGAATTATATTCAAAGAATATATGTTACTGTGTAGTGAAGCATTTTAGTTGTGAAATTAGATTAAATAATATTAATCAAAAGTTATATGGGTAACTGAGAACATTAAATAACAAGCAAAACATTGTATGTCTGGTTTAGACATTCATACATATGCATTGAGTCTGGATTAGACATTGCAGCATTCTCTAAATTTAGTAAATTAAGGGTGACATATTTGAAGGGAATAGCACACAAAGAAACTCATGCCAGTAAGTTATTTGATGACACTCATTTAGAATTAATGATTATTATATTTGCTAATAAAATATTACTCACATTTTATGTAGGTATCATTACATTTGATTTAATACGGTGTTTCTCATTTTTCATTTTGGAGGCACAATTTACAAGTTATGAAGCACTCTTACCTGTGAATGCCATGCAGTGGAGGAGTTGTTAGTATTGCGGGAGGAGGTTGCAGCAAGGGTCGCCATCAGGTTCCCCAGGGGATCATGGGGAAGGCCAGTACCCACCACACTTCGACTAGCAGGCCGCTGCCCATCAACCATCGTGAGAAGCATAGATGAATCAGGGCTGGAGCTTGTTTGATGAGTAGCTGAAGTAATGTGACTCGGGGCTTCATGATGGTTCAAAGACAGACCAAGTGGCTAGAAATAAAATTTTAAGAACATTAAAATGATTATTGAATTACATAATATCCAATACAATTAAAATCTTGGACCGTCAGAATATGTTTTCTGTTTCATTTGTCACATTAAAATCTCTTTATTCTCTCAGATCTCCTGTAAACTTTCACACAGTTGCACTACTAAGCTTTTGAAATAACATAAGAAACTCTTTCTTTAATTTATTTTTACAATTAAAGGATTCATCCTATTGCCAGACTTTAGTAATGTCACTCTAATTGTAACATTCAATTCATTTTTTAAAAATATAATTCAATTACATATTCCTATTAAGGTACATTGATACCTATTTAAATAGATTATAAGCAGTTTTCACTGAAGTCCTTAATATTAATGAATTTTTCTTATTTTTCATTCATACAAAGAGCTAAATATGAATGCTTACCTAGGGACATTAAGTTTCTCCAAGCAACTAATTTTTACCTGAGTTTCTCCGTATTTCCGAGCTTGCTCATGGGCTCTTTTCACTGCCACAAACGGCCGCTCTCGTTCAGGGGGAGAGTCTTTCTGTCGGCCTCCGGGGCTCCCTCCGTTGGTGATGTACGAAGCTTGCTGCCTCTGTTCAGTGGTCGTATAGATTCGTCGTGACGATGTCCTGAAAGCAGAATAAATATTGTAGCACTGCATGGTCATTTGACTAAGGAAAATTATAGATATATTTAGAGAACATCACTCGAGGGTGATCATGGGAAAGGGCTTCGATTGATTTAGGACTCGTCAAATAAAGAGTTCGAAGATCATCACACTAGAAACGTAAATATCTAGAAAATCAAATTTAAGTACTTCTGTTCGAAAAAACAAAAACTTCCCTGTACATATTTTTAATAGTAGTTATTTACGTAAAAGGTACAGAAAGTGAATGTCTGACGTATGAAAGAAATATTGAAGGACGAAACGATATGAGCCGAGGTCGGCATTTTGAAATGAGTACTACATTAAAAACAATTTCGTAGGAGTTGCGAACATAATTTGTAGCACGAATTCACGAAAAATTACAAGTAATCAAAAACTTTCTTACACTCGAAATTAAATTTTGGAAACTTACTAACAATCTTGGAATCATTTTCAATAACCGAGTACCCATACCGAGAAGTAACACTTTCCAAATAATAAACGGTACTAGTTCCCATGCATAAGAACTAAAGGAAAAAACGTCACACACTCTCATCTCTCTCTCTCTCTCTCTCTCCCTCATATCTGTCTCTCTCATATCTCTCTGTCTGTCTGTTTGTCTGTCTCTCTCTCTCTTTCTCTCTCTCACACACACACGCTTTGCACTACCACGTCGGGCACTCGAGACTGTCCCCCGGCTGGGTCGCGCCAAGGGGTGTACCTAGCGGGGAAAATCTCTCGCAAACCGACATGTATGTGAGCATCGGGTCTTATCCTGTGCGGGGGGG